GCTTTTCTAGAGAAATTATTATCATCCCGCCCTTCTTTCTCTCTTTATTATTTTGTTGTCAATTACCATTTCTATGAACACGTTTGGATTCATGATCTGATTTGCAAATCCCTGGTTGTGGGGAAACTGTAAAATGCAGGAGTGGAAGCCAGAGGATTCATGTTTGGCCCTTCAATTGCCTTAGCCATTGGCGCAAAGTTCGTCCCTTTAAGGAAACCCAGAAAGCTTCCTGGTATAGTCTCTGTAAAAAACCTCAAATTTTACACCAAAAGCTCTGCTTTTTGATGCATTTGTGATGTGGGATTGTTTTTTTTTTGGGGGGGGGGTACTGTGTCTTAGGCGAGGTAATTTCAGAAGCTTATGATTTGGAGTATGGAAATGACTGCTTAGAAATGCAAATTGATGCTGTGAAGCCTGGGGAACGTGCATTGGTAATTGACGATTTGGTGGCCACTGGTGGAACCTTATCGGCAGCAATCAGACTTCTGGGTATGTTCATGTCGTTTCGTTTCTTCAGATTCTGGTTTTATTTTCAGAATTGTTTCTCATAAGAACATGATCTTGTAAAAAGTTGTGATTTAAGTGCGTTTTGGTCATCATATTCTAACCTTAAAAGCAAGTTCGTGGGAAACCTTGGTTTTTTTGTCCATGGATTTTTCTGGACTAGAAAACAAAAAATGGGATTAATCATGGTTTTAGATTTCTTGTTTAAAATGATTATCGTGCATGATTATGTTGGAACGGGAATTTGAAATCAAATGGGTCCATCATTACTTTTAATAATTGTATATTAATTTACTTTAACTTGATTTGATTTTCCTGTTTTGGTGTGGTAGAACGGATGGGTGCTGAAGTGGTTGAATGTGCTTGTGTCGTTGGATTACGTGAAGTTAAGGTAATCCTCGGAGAATAATTGGTTTGTTTAAGGTTTATTTATTTATTTATTTATTTCTAACGGTATATTTGTGTAATTAATTAGACTTTACCTTTTGAAATTCATGGTAATTAAGGGACAGCGTAGGCTCAATGGAAAGCCACTTTATATCCTTGTGGAGCCACGTCAGTTGGATGATGGTTGTTTTTAAGGTACATTTTCGAAGCTATATTCTTCCAGTTCCATTCACGCCCCCATGTCTTTACTTTTTACTACAACAATTTGTTAATTTGTTAATGTTGGTATGTTCTTATTTGGATCGAGAGAAACAAGTTATCGTGTTTCGGTTGTGCTTCAGTTCTCTCTGCAATTGCAAAACTAAAACTACCCTCTTCTTGGAATGCCTGCTGGATCTAATACATCATGGCTTACAAACAAAAGTAAATAAAGTTTGGTGAAACGTGTGACGTTGTCGATGCGATGCAGGTGGGGCGGGGCGATATTGCTTCTKCTTAGGCTGAGATTGAGAAGATGATGCTTGAGCAAACAGGGTGATGATTCCTGCAATCAAGTTGGAGCAGCGATTAATGAATTTGGGTCCCCATTGTACTATTTTTTAGTGCTAAATTATGTGTCCTTTCCCCAGGCTGTTATTTCAACAAAATCTTGAATGAACAAACTATTCTCAGATTCTGATATTAAAAAAAAAATCCATGATGTCTCATTTCTTGTACATGAATAGGATCCAATTAGTGTGTTTCTTTTCTAGTGCATTTTTTCATGTTTTCCCTTCTGTTCCTTTTTGTACCCTTTCCCACTACAGCTCTTTCCTTATCTGCCATGGTTTACTTTACTTGTGGGATTCCATTGATTGATGGATGGGTCAGGTCAACAACTTCAAGTATTCAACTGCACATGCTCATTCCCATATATTAGCATTAGTATTCAAAACGTTGAAAATGTACACTTCTTTTCATATATGAATTCTCTAAGAAAAAACCACCACTAGAGTTTGTTTACATATAACTAACAATATTATTTGTACTCATCCTGCCAAGCCTCACTACAGAACAAATCTATGATAAAAATCCATTAGTTTTCTATTTGTCATGTATCACTGTACATCTTTTTTGCTGTGGAATTGTCATCATTTAACCTATCAGATGCTAAAGGATGCTTTTTTTTTTGTTGCTCTTGAAAAAAAATCTATTTGTCCTATCCGACTCAGTGGTGACGTATTTACTTACATGAAAAGAGCATCTCGTGAAATGACTTTCCAATCAACTTTCTCGGATCCAATCATTCTGTTCTGACAGCATGACGTCTTTGGAGAATAGAGTGGTTTCCTCAATCTAGCATTATCTATTAAGATATCTGATAGCAACTTCCTGGATTCTGCGTCTATTATTGAGTCATCCTCAAGCTCATGCTCATCCCTTCAGGTTTTTGTCATTTTTGGGACAAATTCAACCTCATCCTTCCATCTACTAGAAAATAGGCACAATTAGCTCATCTTTTGCATTTAACTATATAAGATATGAAACGTAGGTTTTTATCTAAGCAACATAATTTCTCACATGGGTGCAGACAACAAGTTTATATGATTCAAACCTGCAGAGAGTTTAAGGCCATCGACAGAAGGGAATTTGAATGTTCATCTGCTGAGACTATGGAGTTTCCTGTATTTGTGCAGCAGATGTTTCGAGGGAACGAAAATGAGGCTGGGGGGTATGAGAAACATTAGTGATGCAACACTCAGTTCTTCTGTTTCACTGAGCCTTTAGGCTCAATTAATGAAATGGATCCCAGTTCTTAATAAACTACCTCTGCCTTGGCCTTTTGATAAAAACCTCTTTGACAACCATCCTGATTGACTGTTCATCCCAACCAACACAGCTAATAGATGTAAGAACAGAAACAAAAGAAATCAGACTGTTAAGATTAACCTCTTTGTGCTTCAAATTCAACTCCATTTCCATGGCGGAATTCCTCCAGGTTCCAAATGTGTGATCATTTCCCTCTCCGCCAAAACAGCCTGCTGTAGGTTTCTTTATTTCTTCAGCTTGGCATTTACAATTTCTACTTTCAAATAATCTGAAGAGTGTATATCTATATTATCAAAATTTTTATGGAGTATTATTCAAACTCCGTTCATAATCTACTGGAAGAATTAGTTTCATATTATCAGAAAACTGCAACTCAGTATGGCCATGTTTTTTTAGTGGCTTCTGTGATTTCCCTTATTGAATATGGAAATCCCACCAGCTCCCGGACACTTCACACTAGAAGAGAACTTACTACCATAATCAATTCTCTTTGCTCTGAGAAAAGTTTAACTCCTTTGTAGCTATAGATGAAAGCGTGTAATAAGTGCTTCCACCGTAACAAACCTTCAAAATATTGTTGGGATATCTGACATGAACTTTACGCCATGTAAAGCCTTCAACTACTCGATGGTACTTTGTGACATAGTTAATATACCTCATCAGTGTTGAATGTACCATGCGTCAGGCACTTTCGAGTGGAACTCATTAGGGTTCTGCTATGCTTCCGAGTCCTCAACGGTGAATATGGAATTGTCATCCTTCACAAACCATGGTGTTCCAGGATCAAATGTCTCATATCTCATACTGCTACCATTATCAGATGTGACCAAGGAACTACCAGCAGCAAAAGATGAGATTGAAGGTAAGAACGATTAAACAGAAGAAACTGCACTACGTAAGCTGGATTTGGTTCTGAAATTGGTGCATTTTCATCTAAGAATGCTGGAAAATATGTTAGGCCATATAACAAGAAGTAGTGCAACAAAATATTGGACTTCAGGGAAAGCAGATTTTAAGCAAATATATTAAGAATTACTACCAATTAATTATTCAAGTTCCCCATTTCCATTGAGCATACAGAAAATGAATGTGTGGTTTACACTTCCGACTAGCAGACAGAAAACTTAGCAGCAGGTTCTGACTCGAGAAAGGATGCCACTGCGGTGCTTATTTACGTACCAATGTCAGAGAGCAGCTTTATCATCCATTCCTCTATCACTTCCTCTGCAATATCAGTAATACGCTTGTCAGCAACAGTATCTGGGTACTAATAGCATCTAATTTCTGACTAATATAATTTCTAACATCTTGGGTGCGGCTTTAAAAGGTTTGGAGCCTTGTGAAATCCAACGAACGCAAACAGAAAAGCCACATCTATACGGCATAGTTCAACTAAACAATCAGATAGACTTGAACTCTTTTGTAGATAGAATGGAGTGAGAAAACTAACACAACCTAGTGGAATTTGAGTTCTCCAGAGTAGAAATTTCTATATTCCACATAATAGAAACTGATCTTCACATATCTTCCTACAATCAACCGCCAATTTCCAAGGACTAGCTGGATTAAGCTTCTGATGGGATGACAAAATGCCTACACGACAGTTTAGCAACCAAAGCAGAGTTTTTTCCCTTGAGATTTCCCACACCAAGACCCCTTCCCTCTTTATGATAAAACCGGGAGTCTTATACAAAGTTAAAACAAAACAACTGTGAAAATGAAAGGGATCCTGAATTAAGCAAACTGAAGGAATAATATACCTACATCAGCAGATAACTTCAAGAAGTCATTAAACCTTCTTAATACTCCATGGGTTGCGATAATGTTATTGTTCACAAATTTGAATCTTGTGGAACTGTTCCTTACAAATGTCAAGACAGCAGTGGTTTTAGGGAATCCTCTGCTGACTCTTTGGTACCCCCCTATAGAAACCAAATACAGGCTCCCAGAGTGAAATTCTTTAGGAACCTCTTCAATATTGTAACCACCAAGGATTGGGCCTAGAGTAAACTCTAAACTCAGATATCTTTAGGTCATGGGCACAGTGGCTGCCACCTACTTAGTATATTTAATATTAAATCTCCAATGTCAAATGTTATTAGACTAGCCTAGATGATTGTCTACCCACGATTACGAAAAATATATATACACCGAGCACGTTGTTTGGAAAGCAAGCATTTTTGTGCACATACAAAGTCCTCAAGATCTACGACTATATATATGTGTGTGTGTGTGTTTGATAGGAGATGGGAACAACTTGCAGACATAAAAAACTTGTGCTGCTTTTGAGGTAAAACATCTTATCTTCTAACGTAAATAAAAGGCAATTCTGGCAGGTAGAGTCCGAAAATCTATTTAATACCGCACTAGACTGCTATTGCAACTGAACTTGAAGGGGGGGATCAGTACATCAGGTGGAATCTATATTAAATAAAATTTCATCACAAACAAACACTGGAGATTCATCCGATTTGAAAACTACACTATAGGATGTAAATCTCATGATTTTAGAAGGAAAAGCAATATGGGTTTTTTTGAGTTCAACGACCGGTGGGGTGGAGATTCGAACCCCCGACTTTGTGTAGATATGCCTAACCCAGTTGACAGGTAAGCATGTGAGCATCGTATGGCATTGTTTTGTCACACCGTAAGTCCACCCCATGTGAGCATCCCGTGGCCAAATAGTTCCCCGTCAATCGTGAAAAGAAAACACCAAAACCAACCAAACTCCCAATGAAAGCAATATCAGATACGAAAATCTCAAAGAAGAAAAAACAGTACAATAATATGGAGAAAGAAAAAAACACAGAACTGGTCTAATTGAACTCTGCACATGGAGAACTTTCGAACCTTATCACCCAAATAAGACTGCAGTACCGGTTTAATTATTCGACTTGCAGTTATGAAATGAAAACTTGAAGTTCAAAATTGAAATTCCTTCCAAATGATGAATTGGAAAATTCATGATGAGAAAAATTATCCATCGAGTTGTAAGGAAGAGCAAGAGGTTTACGGTTTAATTACCCAATTCCGAGGGGGAGGGCTCCAATCAATGCCAAGCCGCAGTGGCGAAGTACATCATCCGCTCTCTAGTCTCTAGTAATCAAATGGAAACGGAGCGGTGACGTGAAATAAACTTGTGGGTCGGATTGAATTTGAAAGGAGAAATCAGAGCAAGGAATAAAAAGTAAAAAGAGAGACACAGAAAGGTGGGGGAACTTACAAACATGGCGCCGAAGAGAAGACCTACATCGTGAACGAGGAGGGCAGATTGAGCCGCAGTTTGTCATCAACTTCGGAATTTGGGATTTTTAAGTATTCAAATGATTGTTCTAATTCGACCCTCAATTTGTAGATTGGTATCAATTTCTCTCAAAACAACCAAATGGCAGCCACGTTGAAGGAAAGAGGAAACAAATTAGATGGTGGATTATGGACATGGAACCTCATGGAGAAAGTTATTGAAATTTGTATGGAATTAACCACTTCTATAATTTTTTTAATGGTTGTATAAATATATCAAGTCTAGAACAAGGTATCTCAAGGGAAAAAAAGAAAAAAAAWATATATATATAGTACAAGTAATATGGGTTAGACTTTCTAACCATGATATTATTGATTGAAGATAATATATGTTAATTATCGTGAGTTAGGCTTGTTTTGGTAACTTTTTCATTACGTTCTTAAACTTAAAAGTATTAATTACGTCTCTATCTTGAACATAGTTCACGTAAGGTTTAAATTTCTACCTCTCTATATTATTAAGTTTTAAAATAAATTATAATTACATCTACCTTGTGTTAACATTGACGAAGATAGACAAATAATTGAAGAAAACAAAATAAAATGACATGTGGAATTTATCTTCCAAAATATGGTAAACACAAACATTTTTTTTTCCTCTGTTCTGGTTTGCTGATTGTTATACATTTTTCTTTTCTATTTTACTTCTTGTAAATATAAACATATATATATAATCCTTTCAAACTTTGATAGTACACTATTTTCAATGGGTTAAAAATTAATCTTTTATGTGTTTTTTTTCGCGAATAATTCTTTCAAACTTTGATAGTACACAACTTTCAATGGATTAAAAATTAAATTTTTTATGTGATTTTTTTGACAACCAGCGTAGAAAGGATAGGTAATTGTCTAGGAAGATTAGTTAAAATGTGCGTAAATTGATCGAGACACTCATAAATATATATTGAAAAAGAAATTGTTGATATTGCACAAATAATGGCATTTTAGTCTATGATATCATTTAAAATTTGGCTATATAATCATTTAATGTCTCAACTTTTCTTTTTTAATGGAACTATGGATGAGAATTTGATCTTCTAATTGAAATGATAGTGTCATAACTAGTTAAATTATAGTTACACACAAGTCACTTAASATCAGGTTTAAAGCCACTTTCTAATTTTTTCAAATATAGCACAATTATGCGGTTTATTTTTATATTATATTTGAGTTTGAATTTGATTTAGATTATTATTTTTAAAATTTCAAAAAATTTTAAAATATATATTTATTTTATCTTTCGGGGTGGGAATCGAACTCACAATCTTGGTTGAAAATATATGTCAATTATTGTTGAGTTATATGCTCGCTTTGACATTTTATTAAATAGATCTTATTTTCGTAACATACAAAAAATTTAACAAAAAAAATGTAGACTTCAGTTTAAGTTAAATTACGGATTTCATCTTGTAAATTTTTAAATTTTCAATTTGAACCCTACAATTTTGATCAAACCTTACACATTATTCCAACTATGTTAGAAGCTATTAACATATTGAATATGTGTCAATGGTCTCATTCTTATTTATTTTGATTAACAATTCAAATATATTTTTAACTGAAAAATTAAAAATGGAATATAAACAACAATAATTTTCAAAATCAGCACTTGACTAATTAATCCAATACCACAACTTATATATACACATCTCTAATAAACCATAAAACAAGTTCAATACTAGCTCCAACACTTGACCGTGAGTAATGAGTAGTGAAATCAAAGGGAGAGGGAGAAGGAAGCAAAAGAAGCGAAAGAAAGCTGACCAAATTAAACTTTGGGGCAAAAAAATCTTGCCCATTTATTACAAAGGCACAGAAATCAGAGATGTTGGAAAACACAAGTAATTAACGGAGAGACAACGACACAAGAAGAAGACCCACCAACAGAAACCAAACTTTGGATGGAAACCTGCAGATTATTGTTGGTGTGGATCATTTACATTGGTAGCCGGTGGGAACAGATTTCTGGCAAGAGCTGAGGAGCAAACTTAAGGAAACAGGGACATTTAAATGGATTCCAAGGACATTGGCTTTGATGGCAGTACAAAGGCAAACCGCGGCCTCGGCGTCCGTCAGCCCACTCACCAGACCGCAGCACTTGCTCGAGACGGGGCTTCCGATTATGCCCCCGACCACTCCAAGAATGTTGGTGCACGCGCCAAATTTCAAGGTGTCTTTTGGGCAGTGTGCCGATTGGACTGCCGGAGACGGCCGGATTATTTTGGGTATTTCCGGGGACGGTTTGATTTTGGGTGTGGCCGGGGCCGGCTTGGTTTTGGGCTGGTCGCATGGAACGCCGGCGGCGGCGACAGCAATGAGGAGAAGGAGAGAGAAGAGAAGGGTTGTTGAAGAAAGATTTTTGGAAGCCATTATTATTGGAGATGAGCTGAGGTGAGGTGGGTGAAGGAGAAGGACAGAGGGGCCTTTATTTAAAGAAGGCACTGCCAAGATTCAGGTTCGTCCAATACAAAGACCATGAAAATCCACCAAGTTGGAATCTTGGAGTGATTTTGTGGGGAAAAATGTAAGAAAAATATTGTGGGTTTTCTGTATTTTGAACGATATGGCTTTTGCCATTTTTTTTTTTCTTTCAAAAGATTCATTTAACTCAACCAAAGGTAGAAATTAATTGAGTTAGAATGAAATTAGCCAAAAATATTATTATTAGAGATAGTTTACATTTTAAATAAGCAGATTATATTGAGTATGCTAAACATAAGGTTTTGTGTAATGTCGATGTCGAAAGAAATATTGAGGTCTCCCAATTTCATAGAGTATTGATAAAATGTCGATGCAATAGATATTTTTCTAAAAGTTAGAAAAATTAAGAAAAAACTCGAAAAACATTTAAATTAACAAATAAATATTTTTCAATTTCTAAATAAGTTACAAATTATTAATATTAATATGAGGTATATATTTATGATATTTTGTTGATATTTTTAATATTTTGTTGAATTGTTTGTACTGTAATGGAAATATCGTTGATGTCGAACTCACTGATACATTACATGTAGATAGAAATGTCGACGTGTCAATGAATATTTAATACCATGATGTGGAAAATAAAATATTCAAGTATATATATGTTTTAGTTCATAATATTATTTTGTGAATTTAGTTTCTTTTGAATTAACATATTTTAATTATATGCTCTTATCGAGTAGTGATAAATTTATACGACACTCTAGTTAATTTTTCTTTCTTGTCTTGCGTAGATTTAAGTTTGGATTATGTAATGTAAATTTATTACAAGGTAAAACAACAAGGAATAAGTTAGAAAAAAGAGTGTAAGAATCGAAACATAGATTTGCCCAAAAATTAGGGCATTAGCGCGTTTTTGGGGTGTAGGGTAAGTGAATTGAAAGGCATACGATTGAAGAGCCGAGATGTGGAATACAGCGAATCAATATTGCGACATGTCGGGGTTTGCTTTGTCTTGTTTTACATGTATCGACAAGGATACGGGCTGTCGTTTTCAATTATTGGAAGTTGGAACCCAATTGAGGACCCAACACAACCACAAAATTAATATATGTATCCTTTACCTTCACATGTGCATGGCTCCCGATATTATTATGTACGTCCCTCAAGGCTCAACATAAATTATATTTGAAATAATTTATTTATGTAATCGTTGCTTTTTATTTTTTATTTTGAAAAAATAGTTACTTTGTAATGGTTAACTACTTACTGAAAGGAACTTACTCAACTTGTGACTACATTTAGAAAGTCATGAATTCTAATTTTTACCTCCACATATTATTGTACTAAAAAAGTTAATCTAAACTCAACATTATTAGTATTGCTTTCTTAAGATAATTTTATTTTCTCTAGTATGCTCAAGTTGTTATGAAAATTTGCGGACGAATAAAAAAAAGGAAATTTTTTTTTGGAGAAGATTTTTCATGTATTCAAAATTGAAATAGAACCACCTATTTATTATACTATATATTTGTGACTATTCAAAGTCATATTTAAATATATATTTGTGCCTTTCTGATAAAGTACCTATAAACCTTTTTGTATAAAGTTTTGTTCTTTATAAAATATACTTCTTGTGAAAAGTAGCAGTTCTTTTATCTTTTATTATTATAAAATCTTATTCACAAATTCCAACACTAATTAGTCTCTCTCTCATTCATCCAGTAAGGTTAGAGCGAGCCTTATTTACATTATGCCAAGCTATGTTAATCCTTCTCCTTGGGAATAAAATTCTATTTGTTACTTTTTAAAATACTATATTTATAAATATTTTTATAAAAGTACTATGTTTTCATATATTTTTTAAAAATGAGTTAGGCGCAAATCTAAATTTCACATATAATATGTAACCATTTTAGATCATCCTACAGTACAGTAGTTTGGATAGAAAAATAAGGGAAATACAATTTGAGATTATTTTTTAAGTTAAATTATAAGTTTAGTCTCGAGTTGATTTATCTAATTTAAAATATGTATCTAATAGGCCAGTCAAAGACAAACCATTGCACTTTTAAATATACAAAATCTTAAAAGTTTATGGACCAAATTTGTAACTTAATCCTCATTTTATATTTGTCGAAGATGTAGATATAATAACATACAAGGTAATTACATTAAAAAATCCAAAATAAATATGTATTTTCAAATATAACATAAAGTTTAAAATTTTACAAAAATTACATAAATTAATCAAAGTCTAACTTAGATGTGATGTAAAGTATACCAAGAAAGACAAAATTATGCCATATTAAAAAAAATTGAAAAGTTGTGATATTTTTAACAATACATATTAATTTTATCTCATTTAATGAAAATTTCTCTTTACAAAAAATAAAAAATAAAATAAAGTACAAGAATAAAATCATTCAAAGTCAAATATCTATGGTAAGACAATATTACACCAATTTAAAAGTGTGGAAAAATAATAATTTGTGGTGTGGAGAAATAGAGGCACATCCGTAAAGGTAGATAGACCATCCAATTGTACATAAAATCACAGCCAGCCAGTTAGTTGATGGGCCCTCGTCACATCCCTTCACGTGAATGACTTACTATTTCAATGGAGGCTATGTAACATATCAAATTGGGACCCACAAATGTTTCAAATTTTTTTTTTATTTTTTTTATTTTTATATTGGATAAGTGTTCGGATTAACTTACACATATTTTAACTAATTTTATTAGATATCACTAAGATATTAAATTCTAAGTAAGTGGCTACGGTGAAATTTGAACTCATCCACTCTTTTCAAAAACTTTTACTCCATACTATTTAACTTCTCAAAATTATAATTATAAAGTTTTAAATAGGGACGTAGATGGAAAATTCAATTTCATGAAATGTCATATAAAAATATTGATAAAATATTATAGTTATTTCTAAAAAGATTATATAGAAAACTCATGATACGTATAAATGGAAAAACTTTGGGATAAAATATATAAAATTAGAATGGAGGTGGATATTGGGTAAGGCGTGTGTACTACTCCAACAACATTCTTCGCTTCTTGTTCAAGTTTGCCCTGAATGCATGTGAATACATCTGTTATTTTTGTCACCAATAATAGATTTCGTGACGCCCCACCTGTTTCCTTTTTTGATTAATGGGGTTTATGTTAAAGAACTTATTGGTGAATAAATGCAAGAGGCAGAATAAATCGAAATATACTCTAATTTTTACTTATTTTAAATTTATAGTTTAGTGATAGAATTAACTGTTGAATTATAATTTTTGTAATTTTTATGTCTGCTGGCTTGAATTTTTTTTTCTTTTTTGTTCCTATTGTTTGGTTTGTGCATATATAGTATCAATATTTGATCTTCGTGATTTAAAAGTTTCAATTTTGTTTATATGATTTGCGTCTAATTTCAATTTGGGTCTTTTATGGTTTGGGTTTAGTTTTAAGTTTAAATTTAGTTTCTAGGGTTTAGTTGAACTTCACAAATTGTCCTTGTTATCATATTCGTAATTAAAAAAAAAAAAACTTGGCATTGAGCTAATGTTATATTAATTTTGCTAGCTGATAATTTGCTGTGGGTTCAAAAAGTTGAGTAAAATATAAGAAAATGGGTGGGATTTTTGGGTGATAAAACACAATTGGTGAGGATTTGCAATTTAAACCAAAGACAACTTGAAATAATTAAGTCCAAATTATAGGAATCAAATTAAAACTAAAGCATAAAATTGTTGTAATAGCGAGTAGCGACTAAATTGAAATTTCTAAAATTATATAAACCAAATTGAAATAATATACCTAAATGATAGTGATCAAATTTATAATTTTACATTTCAAATATTTAATTAGTTCATATGCTTTTGAAATCTTCGTTATCACCTCTGCCGTTTGGATTAAAGCTAATTACCGAGCATGAACATATATATTTGCCACTAATAATTAGGGGAAAAGAAAAAACTTATGAAGTTCCATGTGATTTTTTTTTTCTTTGATGATATGGATAAATGGCATGTCTTTGTTTTAATCCCTTACGGGGCACTCTATAAATCGGGGTATCTACGACTACTCACCAAATTACCCAGCACAAGTAAAAGTTTGACTCGAAGAATGTGGACATTGGGTGTCAACATTCTGAGACCGCTCTATCAACTTTGTGAAGTTCTATTGTGATTGAACACAAAAATGAGTTGCAACCAAATCAGTTAAGGATTATTTCATTTGTTATTCTGTAAAGCAATATTACCCCTAAACATGTAGTTCAACTAGCTGGTTAAAGTTGAAAACAGCTGAAAATTTTCTTGTTATAAAGTATTGGTTTAACCCAAGATTTGAGATTGGGAAGTACGACAAAAACACTCATAATCTTAAAAATATTTTACAAGCTATAATAATGTAAAAACGAACCCTAATTAGAAAAGAAAACCCTTTACAGACTATGACAGTGAAAGGTGAGAGGGAAGCTATACGCTACGCTACGCAAGTTTTACGTTCAATCTCCTAAGCCACACAGAATGCAAAATCATATGAAAAACGTCGAACCTCTTGGCCGGCCGGTTAAGCACGAAGTGCTTCCGCACAATCCTCAGGCCCTCCTT